GCCCGCTTGTCCTCTGGCTTCAGCGCCTCCAACGCATCCGTAGGGTTGGAAGAGGAGGTCAGCCTCACAATTGGATCGTCTACCTCCGGGGTGTCTAACATAGAAGAGAATGCTGGGTCCAGATTAAACATCCTCTTATCCTGACTAGAGGGGGCGGGTGTAGGACCCACCGAGGCCAACTGCCTCGCAACCAAGTCTGAGAAGATTGGGGGGGCCGGAATAACTTCTGCTTCCACAATCGGTTGCCTGAACATGAGGTCATCTGGATCCTCCGAAGTCGATGGCGGTGGATCAGAAGGAGATTGAGAGGCCAGGCCTGAGCTATTCTTAGCCTTAAATAATAAGGATTTAAATAACTGGGGTTTAAAGAGGCCCACAACCGTCGGTTGTTCGGGAGAAATGCCCTCGTCCTCTGACATTTCCCCCTCCATAGGGTCCCCGAGAAGGAAATCAGAATACTGCGAGGACCCCCTCTCAGAGCCTTCCTCCTCCCCGAAGGGCTCAAAGCCCATTTCCTCCTGTTCCTGCGAGACCTCCTGAGGCTCCTCCCCTCCTGGGGATGGGGCATCCGTATGAGAAGGTACCTGACCCTGCTGGGGCGCCTGCCCGGAGAGAGATCGACCAGATAAAGATTCAACGTCGGAAGTCCTCCCTCGAGAACCAGGTCTGGATAGCTGCTGCATTCCATCAGCTATACCCTGACGGATAGCAAATTGCATCCATTCCCTGATACTATCAGGGATGATGGTTGACGGCGGCTCCTCAGGGCGAAGACCTGCAGCGGTTGGCGTGAAGGTCGCCTCTGGAGTACGGGATGGCTGGCGGCTCCGGGTGGATGTACTGCACCTGGAGGGGGAAGAACGACTCGGCAGGGGAGGGGGATGGGCAGAGGTAGAAGGTGGGGTAGTTATAGTGTGCAGTTCTTTAGATCGTTTACTGAACTCCTTTTCCAGAGCTTTGTGACGCCTTAAGGCGTCCTTTTGAGAAGCACTGGAGGAGTCCTTGTCCCTCTTACGAAGATAGTGCGTCTTCGATTTGGCCTTCAGGGAAGAGCCAGTTGGATTGTTCTCTGCCATGGTATCAAGGAAAAAAACCTTACAACAAATATGGCGGTTGGCACGCCTAGGAGTTCGGCTTACAAACGCAAACCGGTTTTCTCAAAATCAGATCACGTCCCCCTTTGAATAAAAAATTTTTTTATTATTTTTTATTTTTTATTTTTTTTATTTTTTTTATTTATTTATTTATTTATTTATTTATTTATTTATTTATTTATTTGAATTTGTTTTTTAAAACACCAAGTACTAAAAAACACAAGGAGAAAACTATCCAAAAATATCTACACAAAAGCTTGCTGGAATATATTATAAAATAACTAATAATAATAATTTCTTTTCTCCTTTTTTTTTTTTTTTTTTTTTAAGGGCGGGGCCCAAGGACAGGGCCAAATAGGCACAAGGAGAAAATAATAATAGAAACTATTAAATACAAATCCAAATGAGCCGAATGAACGCAGAGGCCAAAAAATAAGGGAAGCAAAATAAGTATAATAGGTAGGCCTCCTTAGGCAGCCTCCCAACACAATGGGAAGTACGTGCCCGCGCCTCTGAACAAGCTGATTGATACAGACAGAAAAAGCCAACAAGAAAAAACCTCTAAAGGAAAGACAGCAGGGCCGGAACCACAGTGTCCTCCAATAAAAAAAGGGGCTCCACGCGGCCTGACGGTCCCGCTTAGGGCCTCAATCCACACAGCTTAAATCCAAAAACAAAAATTACACACAGCCAGGAAAAAATATTATTTAAAATAAAACAAAATGGCGCCGGCCACGAGGCGGTTCCAAAATGGCCGCCCGGCACGACGCGAGGCAATCAGAGGCGCACCAGCCCTATTCGCTTACCAGGCAATCAGGAACAACGAAAAGCCAGGGCTGGGAGAGGAAGCGTTGCTTCCTCTAAAGCGTTCTAGGGGGGGAATGATAATAGTGCAATAAATCAAGGCACGGAGACAAGCGGCTGGATAAAGGCACGCTCGGAAATGCAGAGAAAGGGAGGAGGGGGGGGGCGAAGTAAAGCTCCGAGCCCTTAAACCCCTTCCTACAGGCAAAAAAACGCCTCACCAATTAAATTTAAGAGCACACTATCAACGCAGGGACAAGGAGGAAAGGAATAAAGGCAAACCTGAACACTTAGAAGCAAAAACTCTGAAAAACGGCCAAGGAACAAGAGATCGCTGCCTGCTTTCTCGAAGGCTGAGTGAAAACTGGGAGAACGCATGGAGGAGCCACGTGGAGGAGGGAGGAGCGTTCTTCAATTATAACTCAGCCTGTGAGAAGGAAGGACTGAAGCACCTCCCACTCTCTGGATGCTCGCAGCAGTTCTACGGAGAATGATCAGAGAATGGGCAGGAAAGCAAAACAAGAACACATTTGGGCCAAGGCCTTTTCTCCCATTCCCTCCGTCGCAATCTCACAATTTTTATCCAGACACAGATACGCATGTGCTTTCTCTCCTGCCCCACTGGTAGATTCAAAGACAACTAATGCGCGTTCCCCTCACCACAAGGCCGTTTCTATCGGCCAACTGAAGCTCCCCAAAGGCAGAGTCACCAGCTGCTTCCATCGGCCAATAGAAATGGCCTCATGGCGAGGGGAGTGTGCACAAGCACTCGCCCCGAGGCTGCTTCTACCAGCCAATAGAAGCAGCTGGTGACTCTGCCTTCGGGAAGCTTCTATCGGCTGATGTTCTATCGGTAGTAAATCAGTGTATTCTAGCCTAGGCTACCTGCATGGCGCTCCTAAAGGCAAGTTTTCTCCCCCCCTTCCCTTCCCCCAATTTCTCTTCACCTTGTGTAGTTCTAACGAACAATGTGAGAAATGGTGGGGAAACACATGGTTTAAATAGGCCTAAATTTTGGGGGCGGGGCTTAATTTCACCTCATGCCTAGAAATCATGCTGGGCCTTCCTATTGGTGGAGGCTGTATTGTTGGAGAAACACGGTATTTTTTCTTTAAAAAATTGTTATTGAAATATAGCACTGTCAAAAATTATAACCAACCTACAATAAAAGTATCGGATACATGCCAACTCCCCCAAATCCATAACTGACGCTTTACAAGAGCCAAACTTACTAGAAAAACTAAAGAGATATTGAATTCTTTTAAATGTTTTAAATATTCATTTCTAGGTGAAAAACAACAATCAAGCATATCAACTAATGTAAAATGTAAACTAGTCTTTAAACCAAGAAATTGTATTTAATATTCACATACTTCCAAAGTTCTATTAAATATGGATTAGTACATGTGATGAAAGGTTGTGAAACTGCATGGAAAGACTCATAGAATATATATAATTGATTGCCCTACATACAGCATGCTTCACACATTGCACTATATGAGCATTTATTTACCAATAACGTTTAAAATAAAATATTGTAGTCTTTGACTTACAAGAATTTACTGTATTTAGTGACCATTCAAAGTTACAACAGCTCTGAAAAAAGAGACATGAACATTTTTAAGTTAAATTGTTGCAACATCCATCCTCATGGTCATGTGATCAAAATTCAGTTGCTTCACAATAGGCATGTAATTATTATGGTTGCAGTGTCATGGGATCACCTTTTCTGATTTTCTGATGAAGTCAATGGAGAATCAAGATTCACTTAACAACTGTTGCTAACTTAACTCAGTGTAATGATTCATTTAACAACTGCAGCAAGATTGTTAAAATGAGGCAAAACTAACTTAATAACTGTTCCTTAGCAATGGAAATTTTGGGCTCAATTGTGGTCATGAAGGGAGGACTATGGATACAGTGACTGAAACCAACACCAAACAAAACTATTATAAAGCAGCATGTGCACACCCAATCAAAATGTAGTTCTCAACTTGAACCACTAATTGTATAGAATGTGCCCTCAATTGACCCATTGCACTGCTATCATTTACACAGGTGAGGAGCTAAAATAACAACTGTTCCTGCTAAAATTTGGCACTTCATCTCAACAATCATTCAGTGCAGTCCAAGAGATAGGGATCAAAGTCAACTTTGCAACTATTCCTTACATCAGCTGGAAAAGCTATTGACTTAGTTGCAAACAAAAATCTAAAATACCAGAATAGAATACCATCAAGTTAATTAAAAGTTAATAACTGAGTGTTTATTCCCAAAATGTTTGAGAATTTGATGGGTAGCATAAATAATAATATTGACCATAATTTTAAATTATTTTGAAGTGAATGGGGAAAAGAAGAGAGTTGCACTCGACTGTTGCAAAGAATTTGAAACAGGTACTTTGCAAAATACATTACTAAGAGCAAATAGCTTCTCCTTGAAGCATAAGGCTTCAGCGTCCTTTGGAAAATTGGCATGGCTGCTCTGAAAGCAGTCCATGGCTGTCTATTGCATTCATTTGTTGTTATAGCAGGAAGTGCTACCTAAATATGTAGAGAGGTACATGAAAATAAATGGAAGGAGTCTTCCAAGCAGCTACGCAAATCTTTAAAGGATGTAATGCCCTGAGTAAAAGTACTTTGCTTTGTTGAAATGTTTGGTAAAACAACTCTTTCAAAAGCTTTGCATAGCTGTACAGTCAAGTGCAACTCTCATCTTTTTTCTATTCACTTCAAAATAACTTAAGACGGTGGCCAATATTATTACTTGCCAAATTCTCAAACATTTTGGGTAGAAATATTCAATTATTAACTTTTAATTTATTGCTCCAGAAAAATGATTTTAAAGAAAAAACAGGGCTGCATAAAGTTGGTGTATTAACTTGCTTTAAAAGAATGGTTTTAATAATATCATTATCTACTTAAGTTATTACATTAAAATAAAAGCTTTCAGAAAGTATAATTTTAAAAGTATTAGTCAAACCAATGATTTATGATAACGAAAACATGAAAAAAATATGTCCATAGGTACAAGTATTGTAACATTTATTATTAAACACATTATTTTAAAAGATGTACATTGTGCTATAAAGAAAATACTTACCAAAGTAGTCAGCCTTGGGATATGCATCCATCTCCTGCTCCAGGCGCTGAGTAAGAACTTCTAATTTTAATTCAGCAGTAGAGGGCCCTTGGTCTTGCAGTGAAAAGAGCATCTGACAAGGTAATTTTATTTTTGCAGAACCAGATATTTCTTGGGGACCAGAATCATGCTGCTGAACAGTGATACTCTCCTTAAAAGGAGACTTGGGAACATCAGAAATCATTGTTACATGAGATGTTGCAGTGATAGAATTCTGCTCAAGACTCAGACCAGAACCAGCAGAATTAAGCCTGTGATTTTGACCATGAACTACAAAATGATCTGAAGTGTATGAATGAATATTGTGCCGCTGATAATCTGCACTTGAAGGAACTGGGGTACAAATTGAAGGTTGAATGCTATCACTGTACCTTGAGTAGTTATCACCACTGCTTCTATTTGGATAAAAATTACCAGGCCGATTTGAAAGAATCTGAGAAGAATGTATTGATGAAACAGAATATGATGAAGATTTCTGTTGTGAACATCTCATGGCTGATTCATCACTAACCCCAACTAAAGAAGATAAGGGGATACTATTATGAGAAAAAGATGGTCTCTGGCAAGCTAGGTTTTGGATACAGCTCTTACTAAGTCCTGAGCCTTCATTTCCACTTTCCTGATTTCCATGCCCACTTTCTGATGATCTGTAAGGGCTTTGGGATTGTTGGCATAGATGAAGATCTGCACACGGTTTTGAAGGGCTTCTCTGCAATGATTCATCTTGGCTGTTTGACCATAAATGAGAGCCGATATTTGACTTCTGGCTGCAAAGCTTACCAGCACTTTTCCTCCTTTCTTGGACACCTGTTTGATTATCATCACTGCTCTGTTCATTCCATGATAGAGAAGGAAGAACTGCTTTAGAACCACTTGAGTTCATCTGATCTGGTTTGTGGCAATTTGGCCCTCCAGGAATTTCTAGGCTGTTGCTATATTCATAGTCATCTTGATATATTTTTGTTCGCTCTCCATCATTGTGACATAGAGGCTGGCTTGGAAAAACAAGCTGATGACCTGCACATACTACTGATGCTGCAACCAAAGGCTTAGCAACATTTTCTTGTGGATGCAATTTATTTGTTCCTGTGGTGTCTTTGACTACAGAATAACTTGGAAGCTGATCACCAAAATTAAATCCACCATTCAAATCCACTGAGGCTCCTTTCATCAATTCTTCTTGTTCTTGTTTCTGCAGGTGAATTTTAGCCATTTTTGTAGCAAAAACTCTTCTGGTTTCTTCAAATTCTGGGTTATTCCCAATAGCTTTGTCTACTCGAAAGAGACCATCTTTGGAAGCTTCATACATATTCAGGTCTTCTATAAATTTACTTGCCTCTAAACCAAGATCATATTTATCCATTTTTAAATGTTTGTTCCTTCAAACAATAGTAAAAAAACAAATGAGTCAATATTTTCAATATTAAAATTAATCTGTTATGTTAAACTCAACAAAACTCCATGGTTACTAAAATTCTTTGCTATTTCTTATGAAAAAAGTAGAGAGGGAAAACTTCACACTTCAAGTTTTTTTCAAAACAGCAGCAGATTATCCAGTGGAGCCTTTAATTCCTTGGTTACTCCCAAAGAAACTTCCAAGTTCTTTAAAGTTCTTCAGTTTGTGAACCAATCTATGGCTGCCAATTCTGCCTAGTATAATTTCAGCGAAACTAAAATTAAAAGAGATAAGATTAATTTAGCAATAAATGCAAGCTAACATGCACTCTTTGTCATCAGAAAAAGGAATACACCCTAATTTAATATTAACTTTCAGGCCAACGTTATCTCAGTTGAATTTTGTTTGGGGCAGCTCGAACATTTATAGGCTGAAAGAAAACATTTCTATTGTGACAGAATATACTGGAAAAGACTTCAATTCTGGGGGACAGAAAGACAAGTTTCAGAAAAAATAACCATTTAGTCAGAGGTGGAAGGAAGCCCGTTCAGATCTTTTCCTCAGCATAGAGGAAATGTTTGCTATTCACAAGTCTTGCCTTTCACCGCCCACCTTATACTTGAAAAAGTTATTTATCTTTTCTCTCCAAATCCTCTCCAGATTTCCTTTTTAACTTCCTCAAGACTGTATCCAATCATTGCTTAAAATGACCCTCCAAAACAAAAGGGAGACCTTGGCCTACGACAAGCAGCCCGAGTATAATGTTTGCTAATCCAACCAGATCTAGAATACAAACATTCGGATGATCACTGGTTGGCACTACAAAATTGGAGTTTTCTATATCCGTTTGCGGCCATTTAGAGGAAAACGTGGAGATTTTTGTAGCCCCAATCTTTGCAATTCCCGCGCTGCGGGGCTGAAAAGAACCCTCGGCCCACACGGTCTAACCCAGGACATTCCGCTGCTTACGAAAGAATGAAGCCAAATGCTCGTCGGCCCGGACGCGTCCTCTGAAAAAACAAGGCCGGCTTGTTCTCACAGACTCCATTGCAAGCATGCGCTTAGTCACAGATTTACTTAATCCAGTGCCAGCCCTACCTGCGGCTCTTGGGAAATGAATCGTTTGCTTTGCTTTCTCGACGTCGTGGCACTTTGAGGAGTGCGGTCGTACCGGGAGGTCACGCTTCGCTCAAAAAGCCCGTGGCGTGGCGGCTAGATGTTCACTCCGCCCCGCGGTCGGATTTGCTTTCTTCGCGCTTTCTCTAATCAAGCTTAAAACGCCGCCGCCTCTTCCTTTTCTTTCCACAATTCCTCTTCTTCCAATACCCGTAGGTTACCGGAGGAGGAGTTTGCAACGTGGTTGAGAGAGCAAGATGTGTTAGCTGGCAATGTAGATTGGGGAAGTGAGGGGCGGGGGGGATTTGCTCTTCTCTCTTTGCTGTGTCAGACGATCGTTAAACGCAAGAAGAACAGGCAGCAGACTGTTCCTGCTTGAGCCGAATGCTTCAGCGCCGAGCTGGAGTTCAATTCGGTAATTTCAAAGTTGTAGGATCTGTGATCCGGACAACATATTTAACATAATACAAATATAAGCAATAGAACATAATGACACTAGAATCTTAGATTTCAAAAGAGCTGATTTTAGTAAAACCAGAGAGAACTTGGGAAAGATTCCTTGGGTGAAAATCCTAAAGGGGAAAACAACTCAAGAACCTTGGAAAACTCTGAAAAATACGATCATAAAAGCCCAGACCAGCACAATACCACTGAGAAATAAAAATAAGAAATCCAATAAAGAACCAGCTAGGATGCACAAAGATCTTTATGAAAATTGAAAGACAAAAAGGATAAGTACAAAAAAATGGAAAGAGGGACACACAACTAAGGCAGAATATCAGAAGATAGCCAGAATCTGCAAAAACAAAGTCAGGAAAGCAAAGTCTCAGAATGAACAAAGACTTTCAAAAGTCAAAGATAATTTTAAAAAAAAGTTTTTTCCAACATATAAACAAGAAAAAAAATCAAGAAAACAGTTGGTCCAATAAGGAGAGAAGACGGTAAGGAAGTTACAGGCAACAGAGAGAAAGCAGAGCTGCTTAACTCATTCTTTGCATCAGTCTTCACACAGAAAAAACCTATAGCCCAACCTACCAAAAACATAGGTGTAAAAGAAAGAGTTAAAATAATAAGTTAAATTAATAAGTTAAAAAATTAATAAGTTAAAATAAGCAAAAAAATAGTAAGAGAACACCTATCTGATCTCGATGAACACAAATCACTGAGACCTGATGGATTAAATCCCAGAATTCTAAAGGAGCTGGCAGAGGTCATCTCAGAACCACTGCACCATATCTTTCAAAAATCCTGGAACACCGGGGAACTACCAGAGGACTGGAAAAGAGTTGATGCGGTTCCCATCTTCAAACAAGGAAAAAAAACAGATTCAGGGAACTATAAACCAGTGGTTCCCAAAGTGGGCAGTACCGACGGGGGGGGGGGGCGGGGGGGGCGCTAAGGGGCAAGAGGCGGTGGCAGGGGGCGCTAAGAGGCAAGGGCAATGGCAGAGGAGCGCTGGAGGTGGGCTCCTCGCAGGGCGCAATTCAGCTTCCCATCCCCACCCCAACCCCACTTGCCTGGTTTCCTGGTGGCCGAGGGGAAGGCGAGCGAGGGCTGGCCAGTTGCTGCTTGGGTCCCGCCTGGATTCTCCACAGCTGCTGGGCCTTGCCTGCTAGGGGCGGGGAGGGCAACCAGGGAGCACGATGCTATGCCTCCCGCATCACCCCTTGCCTGACGCTCCTTCCCTGTGCCGCCCGCCAGCCTGCGCACTTTGGCTGAATGTGAGCCGCAGCTGTGAGAATGATGCGAGTCAAGCCTCGCGAGAGCGGATCTTTCACACTTGGAGCTTTATGTAAGCTCCACATAATGTAAGTTATGTACGGCGGCCTGCACTCGGCTAAAACGCTCGAAGGGGCGGCTGGCAGAGTATGCAGAGTAAGCCTTGTGCTTCATGGTTGCCTCCCGCACTCGCCCTCAGCAGCCGCGACCCGCGAGCCCCAGCAGCTGACGAGATGCGGACTGGCGGGGAGCCAAGTAGCAATGGGTCTGCCCTGACTGGCTCTTCTTTCCCTCTGCCACCAGCCGTGGGAGGAAGGTAAGTTTGTAGACACTTGGGCGGTTTGGGCTTTTCCCAACAGAGTATAAACTTACCTTCCTCCCACGGCTGGAAGCAGAGGGAAAGGTGAGCCAGTCAGGGTGGGCTGGTACCTTTCCTGCAGCTCACTTCTCCCGCAGCTCCAGCGGTGGGTGAGGCTGCAGCCTCGCTTGAAGTTCCCAGCCCTTTCCCCAAAAGAGGGAGGGGTGGAAGTCCCACCCATGGCCGCTTTATTGGACCCGGAAGCCTTGCCTACCGGCTTTTCTGGGCAACGTGGGACAGGGCGTGAACGGACAATCGTGCCCGGTCCCTGCAATTTTGGAGACTCGTCATAAGCGACGCTGATGGATGATTACCTTGTTGGGAGAGAGAGAGAGAGTGTGTGTTACAGATGGGTCTCCTAGCTTAGGAGGAGAGAGAGAAGGAGGAAGGGAAGGGAGAGGGGGGGAAGAGAGAGAGAGGAAGAGACAAGAAAGTAAAGAAAGAAAAGGGAAAGGAAGAAAAAGGGAGAGAGAAAGGAAGAAAAAGGATAGACAAAGGGGGGATGGAAGGAAGGGACAAAAAGAAAGAGAAAGAGAGGGAGGGAGGGAGGAGAAAGTGAATGGGATATGTGGAGGGAGGGAGAGAGAGAAAGAGAGGGAAAGAGAGAAGGAAGAGACAAGAAAGAAAAAGAGAAAAGAGAAAGAAAGAAAGAAAAAAGGAGAGAGAAAGGAAGAGAAATGAAGAAAAGGGATAGACAAAGAAAAGGGGGATGGAAGGAAGGGACAGAAAGGAAGAAAAAGGAAGAAAGGAAGAGAGGGAGGAGAAAGTGAATGAGATATCTAGTCCAACCACCTGCTCCAGCAGGGTTAGAAGTGTGTGTGTGTCTGTCTGTCTGTCTGTCAAAACTCCAAAAACAGTTCAAATAGCTCTGGAGAAGTCAGTCATAAATTAGAACACTTACTAAGCAACCGGCCATTAACTACAGAGAAAAGCAACCAGGATAATTAGGGGACTGGAGGCTAAAACATGAAGAACAGTTGCAGGAACTGGGCTTGGCTAGTCTAGTGAAGAGAAGGACCAGGGGAGACATGATTGCAGTGTTCCAACACATGATTGCAGTGTTTGAGGGGCTGCCACAGAGAGGAAGGGGTCAAGCTATTTTCTAAAACACCTGTAGGCCAGACAAAGAATAATGGATAGAAACTGATCAAGGAGAGATTTAACCTGGAAATAAGGAGAAATTTTCTGACACTGAGAACAATCAACAGCTTGCCTTTGGAAGTGGTAGGAGCTTCATCACTTGAGACTTTCAAGAAGAGATTGGACTGCCATTTGTCAGAAATGGTGTAGGGTCTCCTGCTTGGGTGGAGGGGTTGGATTAGATCAGTGATCCCCAACCTTTTTTACGCTGCAGCCCGGTATCCCCAACCT